TTTAGAAGAGCGTGCACTGCCCGTGAGCTGCAGCCTGCACTGTGTGCACCACCGTAGGCCCTGGAACGATGCTGTTATGGTCCCCAGGGGAAGGGCTGGGTGCACTGCCAGCTGCCCTGCCCCGCTCACCCTCTTCGTGTGCCATTTCTTGAGAGGCAATAAATTGTATTGTACCACTGTCTACCATTACTCCTTTCAATACGCACATCTCTGGATATATATATATATATGGTATCTCCCTTGTATATATTTCTGTACTCTGTGTGTGTGTGGGTGTGCAGGCACCCACGTCCCGCTGTGCAGTTCTGCCAGGGCACTTCAGTTCTGTGCTGTAGCACTCTGCTCGTGGGCCGTGCGGGGCTCACTGAGGACGAGGGCACGATGCTGGGTACAGTGCCCTGCTCATCATTGCTTTCGTTTTGCAGGGAGCAGGAGGGCAGGAGAGCTGCTAGCAGTGTGCTGGAAAGCTCCCGGAGGGTACGGGCAAGTCGGAAGGCTGCGGAGAAGAAAATGAGGTGATGTAGTGGTAGGGAAGCACAGAGCTGCTGAGGGGCAGTGAGCAGCGGGTGGCTGTGTGGGCTCAGCTGGGTCCTGTGGGCTCAGCTGGGTCCTAGCAGCATCACCGTGCCTCCAACCTTTGATGCTCCTGAGTTAAAGCTGCCACTGGCTCCTAGCGCTGCGGTTTGTGGCTAGAGCAGGTCTGTGAAGGATGGCAAGAGAAGTGATGTTGGATGATTTAACACACGTGTGCGTAGACGTGCGCATGCGTATCGATACAATTTTGGTGCATTCCTTATTCTGCTTAGGCACGTGTGCTTTGTTACTCAAGTCCCGTGAGCAGAGGATGGCCTTGTCCTCCCCTGGGTGCCATGCTGGACGGATGGCCGCCCTCAAGCTGTGAAGCCCTCTTGTGCTGACCTCCTCCTTGGTCCTCTGAGACCCCAACATCTTAGTGAGGCGTTGGGCAGATGGGGTTAAAAATGGTTCATTTGTGCATCGGGTCGCTGCCGTTCAGCTGTGTCCCCCACAGCCCCGAGGCCCAGCCAGCTTAGCAGCATGCCAAACACGGGTCTTCATTGTGCTGCTGGAGGGTTCTGGGGCGATTTCCCTCTCTCCCCGTTGGAAGGTCTGTGGCAGGGCTTTAGGAGAGGTCTGGGTCGGGTTGTGCCATCCTTGCCCATGGGCAGCATGCACGAGGCCACCATGGCCGCGCCGCTCTGCTGTGGTTGTGTCAGTTTGCACTTTTATGAGGCCGTTGTGCCGGGGTCTGGGAGAGATGTGTGCTGTGGGGAGCTGGCAGCGGCCAAAAGAAAAAGCCAGCGGAGCCAGCGGTTGTGGCAAATGTCACCTGCTGCAGCAAGGTGGCCCCGGTCCCGTCGCGCAGTGGGGAGGAAGGCCTTGTCAGCCGGAGAGGGACTTAGCAAAGCAGGTTTGCGGCCAACAAGCACCTTAACCACTGAGCTGCGGGGCTCTGACCATTGCACTTCACCTGCAGGCTCCTCGGGGCGGGGGGCGGCCCTTGGCTATGGGAGCGTGGGGCTGCAGCTCTGCGGTGCCCTCGGAGCGCTGTGTCCCAGCACGGCCCCGTCCCTCCCTGCTTGCTTTCCCTGAGTGCGCGCACTGAGCCCGGCCCCGCTGCCCACCCCTGAGTACGGGTACCTCAGAACATGCACAGTTTGAATTTTCACTGACAATTAGTTGAATGATTGTGAGTGGAAAAAAAAAAAA